ATTGACGACGGGCACCAACTCCAATGGGGTCGTGGCATCCGGGCGACCTCCAAGACCCTTCAATTGCAAGATTTGATGACGATTTGCAAAACTCCCAATTTTAGACCCAATTTCGAATTTTAGGGTTTTTTCGAGTAGAAAAATTCAGATTCGAGAAGTTACATGACAAATTAGACAAAATGGTTTGGATATTATTGATCCTCGTCTCAAGACGAAGAGAATGACATTGGTCCCGCCGGAATCGGAAAAAGTTCATTTTCCGGCGACTTTGACTGGCGGGCGGCGGCGGGGCCTGGAAGAAAAGAAAAGAAGAAATGGGGTCAAATTGAAAATTTTAAAATATATAAAATTCGAATTTGGCCCTAATGACCGGAAGTTAACCTAGAATCGGGCTAATGGCTCATTAGTGAAAGGATTGTGTAAGTTCAGGGATTTTTGTGAAAGGATTTGAAGTTCAGGTACCACTTCGAAATTCCAGCTAAAGTTCAGGTACCATTAGTGAAATTTACCCCAAAACACATCAATATGTTGACCATAAAAAGAGTGTTACAAAAATATCGCATATGCTACATATGAATCAATAAACTTCTTAGTAAGAAATAATCTTAGTTCTTGAGAGTTGTTTTTGTCTCATGAAATTTCTTGTGTTTTTTGGCTTAATAGCGAGGAAATTTTAGGTGCACAGATAAATCCGTTGGCGTAGAGATACAACTTACTAATCTTGCTTCTGTCACCCAAGTTATTGACCCTAAACTCCATCAACACTTAGGTATGTCTCTCATATACCCTTTTGCTTCTTTTAATGTGGTTTGATCCAAATATCTCAAGACCCAATTAAGTGTCCCAAACTCTATCAACGTGCAGAGACATTGGGCGGAGGCGATTATCTATTCGCATTCAGAATGCTTATGGTTTTGTTTCGTCGCGAATTTTCTTTCGGAGACTCGTTATATTTATGGGAGGTAAATTAAAATAGATTTATTCTTATGAAATTTTACTGGGTTTATTTTTCTTGACGTCTTTCTGAAATCTTTTTTTTGCTTAGATGATGTGGGCTTTGGAGTATGACCCTAATTTGTTTTTGACATATGAAGACCCTGACTCTTCCACTGAAATATCTGAAGGCTCTAAAGGCCAAACCAAAGCAATTTACCAATGTGGGAAATATGAGAGGGAATACCTTAAAAATGCTGTAAAAAGTAAAGAACCTCCTCTCCCTATATCTGTTTTCCTTGTAGCCAATGTCCTCAAAGAGAAAAGTCCCAAGTTGTTGCTCGAGGCTCGAGGACTAGACGACGTCGTTAAGGTGGCATTTCTTTTTTTAACTTTCAAAAGTCCTGGGTTATTTTTTCTTCGAAGGTTTCTACAGTTGTGTTTTAATCAAAGCTGAGAATATCTGATTACTGTTCATATATATTTTTCTTTTGGTTGTTTATTATTTTCAAGATATTAAATGACGTAACGGGCAATTTAGATGCCAGAAAGGCGTGCACGGGCGCTTTGAAACTTCACAAGAAGTATCTTAAGAAGGTAATGCAACATTTTTTTGTGAAGAAATAAATATTTGTCCTAACTCAATTTAAGAGTGCTTTGAAGAGGCTAAGTTTTTGTCTCATACTTATTAAAGGATTTATATTAATCATTTATACTTAGCTATGTGGGATAACTATAACATTTTTTTCTTTTGATTTCATTGCTAAAATGCACAAATAATGTTTGTTAAATCAGGTGCAGGCTGCTAAGAGTGCTTGAAATGGGAAGAAAACACACACTTTAATTTATTAGCTTCCAAATTGGATGGTACATTTTGGCAGTCTCAATATTCTTGTGACAAAAAGTTTTCAGTACTTATTGAAGAACAATAGATGCATGTGAGCACCTTCCACTTTTTTTGTGTAGTTTATTATTGTCCAAAAAAGGGATCAAAAGCTATAACTAGAAAGCTAAACACACTAGTTGTAAGTAGAAAAGTTTTGTTAACCTATGATGTGATCTTATATGGTCAAAATTATTACATCCTCTCTGCAATAGATCTTCTGACATATTATTTACACGGTTAAACTTAAATCTTTTCTTGTTTAGTTTTATGATTCGTTTCATAAAAAAACATAAATTATCAAAATTTGTATTATTTAATTGTATTTTTTTATTTTTATTTTAATTGTCTTAATTAAAATAAGTGTTAAAACAAGTTTTAGTTTAGTTTTTTAATTGTGTACATTAATTATTTAATGTATCAATTTTATTATACTTTTAATTCAATTACTCCGTATAATGTATCACTCCTAATGAATCACTAAATTTTACTCCCTCCGTCCTAAAACTTTCTTCCCAGAGCACTATTTCAACTTCACGAGAATTTATATTTATTTGTGTTTTTTCATGGCTTATATGATAAAATAAAATATTCTTGTCACCACTTGTTTTGTTGAACTTTTGATGTAGTTTTTAAATATGTATGTTTTATTTTTTATTTCTATACCAATATTTAAATAAAATAGATTAAAAAAAATTTGGGATTTTTCTTCGTTTTGCGCAACGAGAAGAAAGATATAGGACGGAGGGAGTAATAAAATGTCCCGAAGTAACGTTGAGTTGGCGAGGGAGAAGAAAAATGCTAGGGGTACACCAAATGTGTACCCCATTTGTCCCTCACCCCCTCTTTGTCCACAAAAAAAGGCAAGAAATTCAAAAAAATAAATAAATAAAAATAAAATAAAAATGAATGATGGAGAAAGGGGTGGTGTACATTTGGGGTACACATTTGGTGTACCCCTAGCATTGCTCGAGGGAGAAAGGGGGGGGGGGGGGGGA